GTAAAAATTATTTAAAAAAATTTTTATTAAATTTGGTTGAGTTTTTGTCAAGTTATTCTTGTTTAAATTTATAAAAAGATTTTATTATAAAAAATTTGCTTGATTTTTATTGACTCACCCTCATATATAGTATATAGTAGATATATGATTAAGAGTATAATATTTATTTATTAGGTAAAAGTTAGAAAAATACAAGTTAGAACTTAACAAAACCTATTCTGGCTTGGGCAAAAAACAGAATTTTTATATCTTTTAAAACTCTATATAATTATTAATTATAGTTTGTATCAATAGGTCTGTATTAATGAGTCTGTATTAATAGATCTGCATCAATAGATCTATACCAACAAGTCTGTATTACAGGAGTGATAAATTGTTATTTATTACCTTTTATTATATAACTTTAAATTTAAATAACTTATTGACTATTAATCCAATTAACAAGTAGTAAAAACTACATTAAAGAAATTAATATCAGAGATTCTATTAGTAAAATTAGATTTATACTACAATTAGAAGTTATATAAAGTTACTTAATAAAAAATTTAAACTTACTAATAAAAAATATATATATTTTTTAATGTTTAATTGATGATTTGCCAATCAATCAGAGAATTTTCTATATTAAAATGTAACACAGATTACATAAGAGTAGGTCTCGAATTCAAATTTTCAGGTTATAAGTGAAGTCACAAAATTTTTAATCAAATACGGTACTAAAGTAGTACAAACGATAGAGCGAAATCTTAAATTTTTGATTATAGTATTATTAAATATTGATTTTTTTTTAAAAAAAACTTTACTTTGTAATCATGCGGCATTTACTATGCTAAACTCTATATTAATTAGATAGCGAGGTAATTAGTAATACCTTGTTTTTAGCTCATTTTGCAACAAATTTATATATATTTTTTTAATTTTTAAACTTTCAGAAGTATATTGTACTTAAAAAGTAGCAACAAGAATTAGATTTACGGATTCATACTATGTTCCATTTTACAATGAGATTTTAATATGATAGATTTTTATATACTGCATGATCATGTAAAAGTTTGTATTACTTAAAATTCATTCATTTTTTTTTTATTAGTCATCATTCTAGTGCTGTCTAGATGTGATTGGTTTTTGGAAAACAATGCGAAGGCAACACTTGACTTCTTTAGATTTCAGCAGCAGTCCTAGATCAGAAGGTGAAAAGACACTAGCAAAGAACTGTGCAAGAACAATGAACTTGGTAGGTGTATTTTGTAAGAATGCTACGTTATTTTTTAGTTTTAGATTATACTAACCTGTTTGGAAATTGGAGGTTGAAAATTAGTCAATACAATTTATAAAAACATTATGTTGACTTTTTTGGATCTGTATTAACATTCTTGGATCAGAAATTAGCAAATACACTTTAGGCCAGACCAATTTAATTCGGTGGTTTATATTACATCTTCACTTTGAAAGGGGGGGATTTTGCAGGGGTTTACATAGTAAAATTTTCAAAAATTTTTTCTCTAAAAAAAAATTTTTCTGAAATAGCCCATTTCTTTAGGGAGAGAGGGTAATGTAAATCACTGAATTAAATTGGCCTGGCCTTATAAAAACATTATGCTGATTTTTTTTTTAGGTCTAAGTGTCATAGTCTCGAATTACAAGAGTATATGATGACTTTCTTTTTGAACCTAAGTAATATTCTTAAGTCGAGGTTTATTGAATACAAATTCTGGATGCTTTAAAAATTCATTTATTCAAATATATATATCATATTACAAATATTAACTGTAAACACATCAATATTTAATGTTCTATTTAAGATGCAAAATGGCAAAGCACATATTATTCTCAATGAAGCATCTATTGGATTTGTAAAATGATGCATGTGTAAATTTTATATATCATCTAACCTAAGCTTCTTTTCTGTTGCTTTTTGTTTAAAAGCCCAGGTATATGAATTTATCCAATTTTGTATTTTAGAAGTTTTTGAAATATCCTCTGCTTCAATGTCTTCATTTTTAACAAATTTCAGAAGTTTGACCTGTATGGCCTTTGCACTCATTTTGTCTTTATCTACTCGATTCTTGTTCAGAAAAAAACCTTCTAACTTAGCTCTTATGTTTTTTTTGATTCTAGCACCACCTCTATTGCCTAACTTTTGATT